ATACACATACACATAGTAAAAATATTGGTATATTTAACCATTTTTCATTTTTTATATGTAAATTATCCTTAAAATATTTTTACCACCTTGAAATCGGAAATTATTAATGGGAAGGAGAAAATCATGCTAAAGTAAGTTGTGTTGATGGTAGAATAGATGTCTCTGTCTTCATACATACGTATCTTAAAATTAATGATTTTTACTTTTTTTTCTTTTGCTGCAGTGAAATAAGTTTAAAATATGTGTTTGTTCAAATCTGGTAATTTGTGATTCAACTCTAAAGATGATAACTCAAAGGCCAGAAAATTTTGTGATTTTGTTCCAAAAGGGAATATTCCTTTCATGACTTCATTCAGCCTACTTATTCTCTCAACTCTGTTAGCTATATGGAAACAGTTTATGTGGTTGTGTACATCTACTAATATGTTAGAAGCCTAACGTTTGTTCCAGTTTCGCTGTTTTTTGAGCAGGTTTTGTGAGAATCTAGTCTGTCTGCTGTGGGATGTGTTATTTATAGGTTTTATGCCCAGTGGCTTGAATGAGGTCACTGGAAATCCTAGATGTTGTGGAGGAGTTTGTGAGCACACACACACTAAGTGCTATTGGCATTAGGCTAAATGCTGTTCCCCTATAAATTTGCAATTCAAAATTGTGTACTCTTACTGTGCATTTGTTTTTTTAAAATGCCTATTTAAAGCTTTCCAGAAATAGCTTTCCCTCAAAAAAGGCTACTCCTTGAAGAGAGGGACATCATTCTTGGAATGGGAAGGCTGGAGAAAGAGACAAAGTCCCTCAACTGGATAAACTAATAAAGTATATGCAGCAGTGGTATGTGTCAGATTGTGAGGATGGCACAGGACAGGACAGAATTCAGATCTGTTGTTCATAGGTTGCTATGTGTCGTACTCAACTCCAGGGCACCTAACAACAACAAAATATTAAAACGACTGCTTTCTTTTTAAGCTCCTGTCCACATGTTTGTTCTGGTGTGCTTTCTCCTGAATTTCTAAGCATTTACAGTTTTTGTTTTTCAGTTGTTTGAATCATGTTTGTTTGGATGATTGAGAAAGGACTCTTAGTAATAAGTGCCTTCAGAACTGTGTTCCTAAGTATCAGTGCTTGTTAGTAAATTCTCAGATCAATCTTGGGACAGTGTAGGAATTAAGCCATGACATTTAGTAAATGAAGGTCGTTAATGACTTTTGACAGAGAGCCATAGTGGCCTCATTGTAAGGAGCTATGCTGCTGACTCAGAGGCACAGGTTACAAATCCAGCCACTGTTCCCAGAGAGAAAGATAGAAAGTCTCCTCCCATGTGATTTACTGCTACTGAAAACCACTGGAGGGTCAGCTGTGAGTCAGTACTGACTGAATGGTGCATGACAACAACAGCAGTGACTTTGACAGAGGGAAAATGAAAAGTAAGATCATGTTTGGGAGACTGGCTATGCTTACTGCATGCTACACTCTTTTCTTCTATTTTTTTTGTTGTTGTTGTTCCTTTTATTTGAAATGCTTTCTTCTTGACATATCCCCCTTCCCTCCCTCCCTTCACAACTCTGGAAATTACAGAGAGATTTTCTTCATTCACGTTAGGTAAAGCAACCACTCCTTTATCCTCAGTTTGTTATGTCAGCTCTATTTCTACCACATTTAACACTCCTAGGAATTTAACTGATTTTTCTATTATGCTTCATCTTTATTGATTTTTCTATTACATTTCATTTTGAACTTATTTTTGTCATATATATCATCTTTATTAGACTCTACAAAAACAATACCTTGTCTCTCTCAATCTCTTGTCTAACCAGAGTCAGGAAAAATGTTATTAGCACATAGTATAAACACAACAGAGACATGTTAGACCTCAGGTAATTAGAGGCAACATATGTTCGTTGTTTTTAATTAGGGGTTAAGTTTCTCAAACTTAGTCTAAAACCATGAATTACAGAGGCAATTCAGAGGTAAATGAAAGCCATCCTGAGAGTATTATGATCTTTGATTAACATGAGAGGGAGAAAGATGGGGAACGAACTCGATTCAGCCTGGAGAATATTAACTGTTTGATGTGTGTATTTCAAGGTGGTGGATCTTCTAGTATCCATGTGTAGATCTGCATTGGAATCTCCTAGGAAAGTTGTCATTTTTGAGCCATATCCTTCTGTAGTAGATCCTAATGATCCTCAGATGCTGGCCTTCAACCCCAGGGTAAGTAGTTATCCCAGCAGATCACTCACAAGTGGCTTCTCCCAATCATCTAGATCTCAGTCTTTTACCTTCTTTGAGTCTGTACCTCTGTCCTGCCATCCATATCCATGATTTGTCCGAGATTCCATAAAATAATTTAAAATTATCTCAAGCAAATATTATTTATTTTCCCTCCCTAGTCTTTCACAAATCCTATCACTTTTCATCCACTTTTGTCCTTCAAGAGTCATTTCAGAACTTCATTCTCATGAAACTAAACCCAGCTAATCACCTCAAAGTCTGATTTGTCCATACCCCATCCTCAGGTCATGTAGGTAAGTGTTTACATCAGATTGTTTTCAGTGGCCACTATGATGTATTTCATCCTATTAATGCATTTTTAAGAGTCTAGCTTAAGTAACCTCATTTTAACTATAGCCTAGGCAAAAGGATCAACTTTCTTTTTACTTTGTGTTTGCACTTAAACTTTGCCTTGCTACTTTGCCCACCATTGACATTCATATAGTGCATCAACTGGTGTCACATGGAGAACACTTTTGTAAATAGTCACAGAGATTAAGCAAATTCTTTTTGAAATACCAAAGTTTTCAAGCTTCATAAAAGCTGAAATTACATTGGTATTTTCTAGAATTTATTTAATAGGAATAATGACTCTATAAAATGTGTTTGAAAAAGTATCCTTCCTTCTTAAGTTACATCATGGTACATTATTTTGTTTTAAAATGAGTTATCAGTGTCATTTGCACCTTTGTCAGTCATACTATGTAATAACAATTCTCATCAGAAGAAAATGAAAACAAAAAATACTTGTTGAGATTTAGAGTAAACTTTTTATTATTCAAAAGGATTCTGTACTAAATTTGTAATAATATCTTGATACTTTAATGATGAAAGGCAGAAGCAGGAGTGCAGTATTTAGTTTGTATTTTTAGTTTGTTTTATTCCCCTTGTGGATAAACAGTACTTTGTTCTTCATCATTACATTGTTCTTTTCTTTTCTTCCTTTTGATTCACTTGTACAATCTGTCTTTGGCCCAACTTGTGTCAGTCTTTCCGTTTGTGTGCACAAAATAGTCACTGCTTTGAAGCTGCTTCTGATAGCAGTTCACGTAGAGAAGTAATATGATTATCTAATAATACTCAGATTTGCAAATGCTTATAAGTATATTCCTTCCTCCCCTGCCCCAAATAGAAAAAGAACTATGACCGAGTAATGAAGGCACTAGATAGCATAACTTCAATCAGAGAAATGACACAGGTGAGTATGTCATCTTTTGATCTTACACAGTTCAGCTTCACTTGAGTAAAATATTTTAAAGATATCCAAGAGTACGATTTATTTTGGAGAGATGGAAGGTTTTATGTTACATGATATATTTATAGCTAATATAATTGTGCTTTGCAAAGATGTTTTAGTTAAATTAAATCACTGTGCTACCATGCTGCTACTGTAACTTTTGGGATGTAAATTCATAATTATTATCCTAATGTCCTACTCTTAAATTTAGTAAAAGCCTTAAATACCTGAGGGTATGTCATGGAATATTTCATTTGAGAACAAAGTTTCCCCTTTTCCTAGAAAGTTAATCATATTAATGGTAGTAATTTCAGAATACTATTTAAATGTTAAAATAAAACCAGAAATATTCTATAAGATGTACACAGGGCATAAATAGAGCCCGAGGAACACCACAGGAAGACTCCAGATTCTTCACTTGTGAGTTTAATTTGTGCCTGTTAGTCAAATTTTTGGCAGGAAAGTTTGAGAACCATGGATCAGGGTTGATTATGAAAGGCCTGTGCATCGCTGTGGTCCAGTGTATGGAAAAGCATATGATACTCAGTTATTTTAGACTTTACACAGTCATCAGTTTGGAGACAGAGATAAAATTTATCAATGTAAGTTGTGTTGCTAGGGGACTTTACATCAGCTCAAACTCAGTAACCCTGCTAACAACAGATCTGAAACTTACCCTATCAGATAGACTCAAGCTCCTTGTTGTAATCACTGTCAGTCCACTTTGTTGAGGTTCTTTGTTGAGAACTCTCCACCTTTCCACATGATTAGCCCCTGCTGAAAGCGGGCCCAAAGTATGTGAGATGAAGATTCACCATCCTTGCCCTTCCTGAGCACCTGCTTTCACTTCCTCCAAGACAAACTTGCTACTTCTTTTGGAAATCCATGGATTATTCTGTAATCTTCTCTAACATCAAAGTTCAAAGGCATTGATTTTTCTTCTGTCATCCTTACTCATTGTCCAAGTTTCGGATGAATAGCAGCAGTTAAAATACCCTGGCTTGGACTAGGCATACCTTAGTCTTTAAAGTGTTATCTTTGCTCTTTATCGCTCTGAGAGGTACTTAGCAGCAGATTTTCCCAAAGCAACAAGTCTTTTAATTTTGTGACTGCTTTTAACCATGAGTGTTTATTGTCAATCCAAGTAAAATGAAATAATTGACAACTTCAACATTTTCTCCATCTATTATGCTGTTGCCCAGTGGTGAGGATTTCTGTTTTTGTCTGCAGTAGCTTTTTCAAATCTTCTTCACTTTGACCAAGCAGGGTTGAGTCATTTTCTTAAGCAGGTTGTTGACAAGTCTTCCTCCAACTCTGATGCAGCAAGAATATCATTACTGATGTCAGCTAGGTGCTGATTGAAAGTAGAGGATAACAGGAAGATGTTTATTTGCAGTTTACTGACTATACAAAGTCTGTTCGGATCTTTTAAAGTAGAAGTTAGTACCAAAAACTAACAACACAAGTTGTATTTATTGTGTTTTGTGGCTTCAGAGCTTACACTGCCCCCAGAGATACTTGGTGTCTCACAGTGACCATTATCCTTTCTCCAGAGAAGGAATCAGGAATTCCTCTGTCCTTCGGCCCAAAACCACCCTCTCAGCAGTCTGTCTTTTGACTTTCATTTCTCTTTCATCCAGACTGAGACCCACAGTCCTGTACCTGTGACAGATCTCAGCCCTCATAAATCCTAGTAAAAAAGATGTCTACTTTTAGTTCTTGACAAGAAAAAATATTCTGCTGCTCTCTGAAGATAATGCTCCAACTGCATATTTTTACATTTTTCATTTTAATTCTTCTTTTTGTACTTTCCTGTTTTCTTCTTTAATATATCCCTTTCAGTTCCATATGCAAGCCATGTCATTCATTATCCTCTTTCAAAGGCTTGAGCTAACGAGAGAATATAGCTTTGATAGCTTATTGGATTATAGCACACAATTAAAAAGAACTGACTTCCTTTGATAATCTTTTTATTCATACATTTAAAAATACCCTTGCATTCACCAAGTAGAATGAGCACCTTCAAATCTTTCAAACAATGAGAAACCAAAGATCCCTTAGTTCTCATTATTTGCTTCACATCCACCATTCCTTCCAGTTGTTTTGCTGTGCCCACACCTTTCTGCATCTTCTGAATTCTTTTTTTCAAATAAGCTTTACTATGTGTATGAGAAAAAGAACACAATAAAATACATTTCTACTTCAGAGGAAAAAAAGAACAGATTCCAAAAGCTTACAAAACATTATGCAAATATTTTCAGTCATGAAAAAGACTTTAGTATATTTATACTATACCCTAGACCCCAATCATTCTTGGATTTATAAATAGGTACATACTCTTAACTCTGGAATCACCTCACTGCCAAAAACGGCTTCCTTTAAAATTCTGGGTCATGTGTAAACTATTTTAATAGGGGACAATGTAGATGTTCAAGCATCAGCCTAGGATGTTACAGGCCAAAGTTACAGAATTGGCTTATCAATGACGTTCCTGTGACCTTGGGCAAATTGCTTAATTGCGTGATGCCTCAGTGTCTGCACTGTCCAGATTAAAATAGTAACCCCACATCCTCTTTCACTCTACACTTCACAGGGATGCTTTCAGTTTCTATTCCATCAAATTCTTTAAACTTTTTCAAATAAATATAGCATGAACTGGCCTATTTTCTGGAATGTACTTTTAGATAGATAGATCTATATTGTCACAGAGATTGAAATGGTTAATGGTCTGTGTTTATCTCTGCAGTTACCAATTAAAGTTAATTTTTCTGCAAATTGTGTCTAGTTTTCTTTTGCAAAAATATATGTGTAAGTAAATATTCTCACAGAGGAGTGTGACAGGTAGCGGTCATAAATTTTCCTTAATATTAATTGAAAGTTAAAAATTACAATCTTAAAGGGCAAAACTACTGTTTGTTGCTGTTACCATGTCAAGACAATCAGTTTTCAAGTATAAATAGATTAAGCATATTGCTATGCCTGTGTTCCATTTATAAACATGGGGGGAAATGGAAGAAAAATGCAATTAAAAGTGTTTTTAAGGTAAATCGAGGAGTATAATGACTTTTTTTTCAGGCACCGTATCTGGAAATCAAGAAGCAGATGGATAAACAGGATCCCCTTGCTCATCCCCTACTGCAATGGTATAAAATTTTAGTTTTTCTCTTAACGAAAACAAAGCATACTTTCTCTGCTTCGTTCTTTAAAAAGGAATAGCCTATTTTACAAGACCTGCAGTGCGGCAGTTCTACCAGCTTAGGAAACCTGCTGATTTTACAATCCAAGAGTCCTTAATGACTCTCAACTTAATTAAAACTTGTTCATCACAAAGGAAAGAAGATGTTGTCACATGCAGTCCAAGGATATGCAGTCACCTGGCAGCAGCTCATCTAGAGTTTTTTAAAATATGACTAGCTGGCCTACATGGCATTCAGGTCATTAAATTTGCTAGTTAAGTGAGGACAAAGTTAAAAATTCATCATTTCAACCCTTATTAACAATCTTTCTAAAGGTTTTCTTTTGTATGTTTTATTTAATTCCTCAGCAAGAGACTATATTTGATGAACTCTTCAGTGAATATTTGCAGAATATTTCAGTCATCCTGCTACAATGGTACTTCAGATAATCTGTCCTCTTACTTCACATATGCGAAGTGAAGTCACTGTATCTACTCACCATACCTTATTAAAGCTTCATGAATATGTTTTGTTGAAATTGCTTTGAAAACTCTAAAAGGTTATTGAATTTTCAACTCTTATTGTGCAATGCTATGAATGTTAAAATATAAACAGATTGTTCTGAGTAATACTTACTCCTTGCTATAACCACAAAGTTGTTTTAAAATTATGTAAAGGAAGGTAAAGGAGAAAAACTTTGGGTACCTCAAGGTTTTTATTTCTTTAATTAGTCAAAATTGAAAAATACACATTTGATGTACTCTCTTAAAATCATGGCAAAATTAAGGTTTAGAAATTCAAAGTTAACATAAAATAATTTACCAGGAAGATAAAAACCTGGTGAGTATCTTTTTTTTTCTTCCAAAGTTCACTTGGCTTTTCGCTTTTCATTTCTTGTGACTTTCTTCAACTTTATAGTCATCTTTTTTTAAGTAGAAGATGATCCACTAAAATGTTGTCAAGGTTTTCTTACTATTGACAAGTACAGAATATTTTTTTACATACCTAAACTAGCTTTCTCTCAGCTTCAGTATCTCTGTTGAATAATAAATTGAATATATCGTATGTATCAACTTAAAAACATCTTCAAGTATTACTAGAGTAAGCACTCATTATTAGGCAATACAGAGATAAATGAAGGAAGCAGATGGATGAGTCACCTTCTTACCTTTGTGTTTGGAATGGTTTTCTTTGCAAGTATATTTAGAAATGTTCCATTTGATAACCTTAAAGGTTTTGATGAGTGATTATTAAGAATAATTTTTTCCTTGGGCTTTAATGAACTTTACCATGTTTATTACATTAAAATATATTCTCTGTTTAAGAAACTTCATATTATTTCAGGAAACAAATGAAATTATACAATTAAAAACTATTACATTATTATTGTATTATTTTATGATGAAACATAAATAAATTTCAGTCACTTCTCAAGTAAGAATAAAACTTACAATGTATCTGGAATATATTTTTACTAATAGATTATTCTCATTTCAGGGTTATTTCAAGTAACAGATCCCATATTGTGAAGCTACCAGTTAACAGGGTGAGATTTTTTCCCATTCTTTTTGTTGTATAGAAAACTTAAGTTTAGAAATAGGGGAATACTTAAATCGGTCGGAGAACTGACCTCTGCTTTTCTGCTAGGCTCTCCAGGAATTGAAGTAGGTCTAGGTTAAGTCAGATTCTTCAATTTGAAGGTGATATTTGAATGCTAGTTCCTCACTTTTCCAGTATATGAAATTCAGAATCATTCTACTGTCCTTTAAAATAAGAGTCAATATGAAATTATCTGATTATTCCACAAGTCTTAGGTAGAACATATATTATCTAAAGGTTGATGAATAGGAAGTGAATGTGCCTTTTTATTGTTGGTGGTTTCATCTTGACACATCTCTGCTTTCTATATCTGGGACGATACTGTCCCAAATACCTGTTTATCATCATAAGAAACCATAGAAAAAAGAAAAAGAAAAGCTGATGGAACTCTCATTTCAGTTATCATCATCATCCAAAAGCAGTATCTCTAAATTGTTATTGTTCTTATTGCTAATTGTCATTGAGTAGACTGAGTCATAGCAATCCTGTGAATAACGTATCTGAATACAAGTCCTATGCTGTGCCATCCTGACGCAACTCTAACTTACTTTCCACTGTTCAGTTATTGTGTCAGTTTATATTGTTGAGTGTCTTTCCCTCCTTCACTGACCCTGTATCTTCCCAAGCATGTTCTTTCCAAGTACTAGTCTCATCTAAAGTATGCAAGGCAGGTGAGTTCTGGTGGCCTTGTGGTAAGAAGCAGCACGGTAACCCCAGAAGTACGTGGTTCAAATCCACCAGACGCTCTGCTTGGTAAGGAGGGACAATCTCCTCCTGTACCAGTCAGTTCTGATTTGACAGTACACACACACAAAATAATAAAATAAAAAATGAAAAACAAAAGTATGCAAGGCAAGGTTTCACTATCTTTGCCTTCAAGGAGTTCTGACGGCATCTTTTCCAAGACATATTTGTTGGTCCTATTGGCAGTCAATTGCTCTTCTCCAATACCATAACTCAAAGACATTGATTCTTTTCATGTCATCCTTGTTCATTGTCCAACTTTAATGAAGGAATATAAAAATAGATAGACCTGGAAAAGAAAAAGGGATGAACTCGGTCAGCATTTCTCAAGTTAAAAGAACTGAAAAGTGAATTCAAGTCTACAGCTGCAAAACTGAAGGATAAGCAAAATTAGAATGATATGGAAGCATCAAAAGAAGATGGAAAGAATATTCTGAATAGCGGTACCAGAAGAATTGGCAAACACAGAACCATGTTAGGAAGTAGCATATGATCAAGAAGCAATAGTGATGAAAACCGAAGTTCAACCTGTATTAACACATTGCCACACACTTTTAAATTGACGACCGTGCTTAGAAACACGTTTGCTGTCATTTATGGCAATGTGTTAAAGATACTAGCTCCCTAACAAAAAATTAAGGACTGAAGAATCAATGTTGTTGTTGTTGTTGTTGTTGTTATGTAATTTCTTCAGGACCAACTAGAGCCTTCAGCCATGCTCTGGCTCGTTGGAAAGCAAATATCAGAAGCATTCTGTTCTCCAGAGAGCAGGTTCTGGTACAGATAGAGGCTGATCTATGACAGTATGTGCATGACTCCAGGGCAAATAAGTTTCATGCTTCACTAGGAACTGTTGGAAAAGTCCAAAAGTTATTTGCAAGCTGGGAACAGAAAGCCTGACCAAATAGTTGCAAGTCAGGAAAAGAGAAACTTCACAATAACAGAATGTAAGGAATGCAAGAAAAAGAGGAGTACAAGAGTTGGCCCAAATGCACACTCCTAGCACCACATAAAAAACACACAATTTAAGGAATATATGTAAATATTTCTTACAAAGACTAAGACCTTCTAAAATCCCAAGAGAGCTTAGCAATGCATAAAAAGAGAACAAAGAAGGAACAAGAGAGAAAATAAGTGACTACACTTCCATGGTTGTCGTTGTTTTGTTGTGGTTATGTGCCGTCGAGTCACTTGCGACTCATACCGACCCTATGTACAACAGCCCTAAACTCTGCTCTGTCCT